TGTGCATAAATTTCAGGCACCAGGCCTCTAGTAATGAATAATGGGCACTAGAATTCAAATTACCAGATGTTTTAAAGAGAGGGGAGGGTCAGTTTTCAATTCCATTTTAACACCACATTACAAAAGAACTATTTTTAAAAATAAAAAAGGATTGAGGGAAAAGAAAAGAAAATAAAAAGAGTATCTAAACCGTTGAATGACCCCCTGTTTGTTCCTGATAAACTTCAATCACATCTTCCTCCTCCATTCCCAGCTGAAAGAGAAAAGAGAAATATTTTAGAATATAAAAGCACTGTTTTTTTAATTGGCTGCAATTATGTGGCCACAGTTTTAAAGAAAAAAGGATTCAGAGGTGATCCAAGTTACACTGTTCTAAGACTAAGAGTCCTGGTTCCTTTAATCTAAGGACACAGAGATGTGTCAATAAAGTCATTTATTATTTTGCTTAATCAATTTCATTTCCCAGCTTATTCACTATATAAAACTTAAGTGTTTATTGAACAGGACCTTAAAAGAGTTTAAAATCTAATGGAACACGTATTTAATAGTTTAAATAAGCCTGCCAGAGAGGCTCAGTTGGTTGAGCATCATCCTATACACCAAAAAGTTGCTGGTTCTATTTCTGGTCAGGACACATACCAGGACTGCAAGTTCAATCCCAGGTCAGGGCATGTACAAAAGTCAATCGGTTGATGTTTCTCTCTCACGTTGATGTTCTTTCTTTCTCTCTCTCTCTCTCTCTCTGCCTTTCTCTCTCTAAACATTTCCTCTGGTGTGGATTAAAAAATAATAATAGTTTGCTGGGCTAGTGTGGCTCAGTAGTTGAGTATTGACCTATAAACCAGGAGGTCACGGTTCAATTCCCAGTCAGGGCACATGCCCAGGTTGCAGCTCAACCCCCAGTAGGGGGTATGCAGGAAGCAGCCAATTGAAGTTTCTCTCTCATCAATGTTTCTATCTATCACTCTCCTTTGCCCTCTCTCTAAAATCAATAAAAACTTTTTTATTTTTTACAAAATTACCACCACCCATAAAGGGCTTCATGTGCTCCAGATACTACACCCTGAGAAAGACACATCATCAATTATGTAGTATTGCATCCAAATATGCATAACCCGCCCTAACCGGTTTGGCTCAGTGGATAGAGCGTCGGCCTACGAACTCAAGGATCCCAGGTTCGATTCCGGTCAAGGGCATGTACCTTGGTTGCAGAAACAACCCTGGTGGGGAGTGTGCAGGAGGCAGCTGATCGATGTTTCTCTCTCATTGATGTTTCTAATTCTCTCTCCCTCTCTCTTCCTCTCTGTAAAAAATCAATAAAATATATTCAAAAATGCATAGCCTGAATCCAGGACTTTCTGGAAAACAAGTGATTTGTATTCCTTAAAATGATAAATGTAATGGAAGACAAAGAATAGCTGAGGAAATGTTCTAAATTAAAGATGACTAAAAAGGCACTTGAGTAAAATATGTTGACATGGAACTGGACAGGAGAAAATTTATTATAAAAGACATAATTGGGACAAATGACAAAATTAGTTTGTAGTTTAAAGTATTCTAATAGTATTAGTGTCCTGAATTTGATTAACAGTGCTGTGGTTACATAAAATATACTTGTTCTTAAGAAATACACACTAAAATATTAAGTAGTAAAATATAAATAAATAAATAAAATATTAAGTAGTAAATGGCCATGGCACATGCAACCTCCTCCCAAGTAGTTCAAGGGATATACACTTATACATGCGAGGGAGAAGAGGAGAGGGAAGAATTAATAAGCAAAGGTAGAACGCTATTAAAACAGGTGAATCTAGGTGGGAGAATGTAAAATTTTTTTGTGAAACTTTTCTGTAAGTTGAAAATTATTTCAAAATAAAAACTTTTTAAAAGCCCTAGCTGGTGTGGCTCAGTAGATAGAGCGTTGGCCTGTGGACTGAAAGGTCCTGGGTTCGATTCCGGTCAAGGGCACATACCTGTGTTGCGGACTCAATCCCCTGTAGGAGGTGTGCAGGAGGCAGCCGATCAATGATTTTCTCTCATCACTGATATTTCTCTCTCTCCCTTTCCCTTCCTCTCTGAATTCAATAAAAATATGTTTTTAAAAAAAAAACTTTAAAAAAGATGGAGACATGTTAAAAAGAACACAGACACCAACCGGAAGGGGCCCTCGCTGGCCAATAACCCAAGAAGAATCTTCAGTTTTAAAGTATTTCCCCACAAATTACTAATTAAAAAGAAAAAATGGTAACTTTACAATGAATAAATCTAGCAGTTACCACCTTAAGTTACCAAAGTTAGTATTACCCCCAACAAGACAAATGGTCATCATGTACTTCCTGGTGTGATGTACTCTCCAGTACACAGCTTCACTCTGTGCCACGCATACCAAAAATAAAAAACTGAATCTAATAATGAGGAAATGTCAGACAAATACAAACTGAAGGAATATATAAACAAAACAAACCAGGTTATATGATAAAACAAAGACACAGAAGCACTTAAAAACATAAATCAAGGTGACATACCCAAATATATTAATATACACTAAGTTTCTGTATCAAGTTCTCGAAATGGGTCAATAGTCAAAATCGAGCCTGGCCAGGCAAGTGCACCAAATGGTTGCCAGTTCCATTCCCAGTCAGGGTACATGCCTGGGTGCAGACTGGATACCCGGTAGGGGGTTGCAAGAGGCAGCCAACCGATGCTTCCCTCATTCTGTTTTTCTCTCTCTCCCTCTCCTGCTTTGCCTCTAAAATTCAGTAATAAAAAAAAAACTTATTTAAAAAAAGTCAAAACATGCCGAGACCGGTTTGGCTCAGTGGATTGAGCATTGGCCTGCGGACTGAGGGGTCCCAGGTTCGATTCCGGTCAAGGGCATGTACCTGGGTTGCGGGCACGTCCCCAGTGGGGAGTGTGCAGGAGGCAGCTGATCGATGTTTCTCTCTCATCGATGTTTCTAACTCTCTATCTCTCTCCCTTCCTCTCTGTAAAAGATCAATGGAATGTATTTAAAAAAAAAAAAGAAGTCAAAACCAAACCATAAAGGTCACCATCACCATGAAAGTGTATCAGAAATCTCCCAAATCTAAGGACCATCTGTCCATCTTAAAAAGACATAGCATGTGTCTTCTGACAGCCTCAGTACCCATTTTACGTTCAACCTTTCTTTTTATTGGCACTTTGGAAGGCAACATATGGGAAGTTCAATTCAAAAGATTTTTTCTCTCTGACAAATGATATACCACTTAAATCAGAGAATATTCCAGAGGTGGGCAGTTTAATAACAACAACAAAAAAAGAAGTGGGCAGTTTAATACCAGTGAAACAAATCATTCAATGCAGAATTTAAAATTTTTCTTAACTCAAAGAAGACACTTTACTCACTTCTTTTGGAGTGTGATTATCAGCAATTCTCTGACCTTCAAAGAGAAACCTGAGTGAATTCATTGGAACTCCCTAAAAAGGCAAAAATATATATATATAAATATGTATACATATAAATCTTAGAGGAAATAAGAACTTTGATGCACAAAAAGCAAACATAAAAACTTCAACAGAGCCGAAACCGGTTTGGCTCAGTGGATAGAGCCTCGGCCTGGCGGACTGAAAGGTCCCAGGTTCGATTCCGGTCAAGGGCATGTACCTGGGTTGCGGGCACATCCCCAGTGGGAGTTGTGCAGGAGGCAGCTGATCGATGTTTCTCTCTCATCGATGTTTCTAACCCTCTATCTCTCTCTCCCTTCCTCTCTGTAAAAAAATCAATAAATTAAAAAAAAAAAAAACCTTCAACAGAACATAAAACTAGACAGCTAATCCTATCATAATCACAATTTATTGAGTGCTATTTGCTAGGTCCTCCCTGTTCCAAATATCTGACATACATAATCATAAATGTCTGTTACGTTATCTTCATTATACAGCTAGGGAATCAAAGGTATAGAGAGGGTACAATAGCTAGCCAAAATTTAAGGCTAAATCTATCCTAAGCCTCTGCTCTTGGCAACTATTTTATAGTTTCCTCTGAGAGCTGTAAGCTAACATCTATCTATATCTATCATAATAAAAGCATATATGCAAATCGACCAAACGACCGAAGGACGGCTATGCTATGACATGCACTGGCACCAGGCAGGCCAGCCAAGGCGGGTGCAATGCGATTGGTCGGGGGGGCCCCGCCATCGCCCCATGATCGCCCCGTAGAGGGAGGCCCAGGCCACCCTCTGCAGGGCGATTGATGGGGGGGCTCCGCAATCGATTGCCACGCAGAAGGAGGCCCAGGCCAGCCAAGCAATCACACCCCACACCTGTTGCCCGCAGAGGGAGGCGACCGGTGGGGGCGGGGCCAGCTACTGGCTGCCGGGGGAAGGAAAGCCCCAAGAGGCCTTGATCACCGGCCAGGCTTAGGGACCCTACCCAAGGGGTTCCAGATTGCTAGAGGACGCAGGCTGAACTGAGGGACACCACACACACAGTAAGAAGGAGGGAGGGTGGAGGTGGCAATCAGGCTGGCAGTCAGACATCCCCGAGGGGTCGCAGATTAGAGAGGGTGCAGGCCGAACTGAGGGACACACACACACACACACACACACACACACACACACACCACCCTGCCGCCGTGCACGAATTTTGTGCACCAGGCCCCTAGTGAAAGATAAAATCAAAAATTGGATGAGCACCCTTACTATCTTCCAGCTACACAAGCAAAACTGGTTTTAAAAGATTCAATCCTAGAAACTTGGTAAAGCACAGTAGCTATCCAGATAAGTTACAATAAACCTGTGATGGCATACAGAGCACTGTAAATATCACAAAAAATATTAAAATATATTTTTCTAATTATTTGTTCAACAAAATAGCTGTAAGGAGAGAAATGCTAATTTAAAGAGAAATAATAAATACAAATCAAGAATCATTTATTTAGTCCACAATTATGAAAGTCTTCCTCAAGACCTACTATATTAAGATTTTCGTTGACTGCTTAAACACCATCCCAAAAACATCAAAAAATTAAAACTATCTTTCAATGTGTACTATATCATAAGTGTATAAGACCACACACACTTACCCTTCATTTCATTTTAAATTCATTCCAGGGATATATTTTTAAAAATAAGTTTAGCCCTGACTGGTTTGCCTCAGTGGATAGAGTGTCAGCCTGCAGGCCGAAGGGTCCCAGGTTCAATTCCTGTCAGGGACATGTGCCTGGGTTGTGGGCACATCCCCAATGGGGGGTGTGCAGGAGGCGGCTGATTGATGTCTCTCTCTAATC